CTCTCTGGCTGGTCTTGTCGTGATGTGATGTGATGTGATGGCCATGGTGCAGGCTGAGGTTCATCGGGGGGCTTGTGCCGGGCCTTCCCGCCTACTTCAACTCGGAGTGGAGCTACGCGCAGGTGCTGCTGTTGTTCCTCTAACACTGTTGCCGTTGTTGTTGTTGCTGTTGTTGTTACCGTTGCTGTTGGTGTGCTTGTCGTCGTCTTCGCGTGAAAGGAGCCTTCCGGCGTCTGTCAGGAACCCCCACCCAACCACCCACCCACCCATTGCGCATACTGTACCTTTCCAAAGGGTGTGCTTAGTAGACGACTTGCTCCGAAATGCCACGGGGCTATCTATCACGGATGTGCACAAGAGACGCGCGGAAAGCGAGGCCGAGAACAATCATTGGAAACGGTTGATTCATGTTTGCGAAAGATTTGAAACGGGAAAACGCCTGACCGCCTTCACTCCATACTGCTGTGTTGTTGTTGTTGTTGGCGCTGTCGTTTCACTTGTCTCGGTTCGAACGATCTCCGATCTGCGAAGATCCGAGGGATCGAGGCGCGGTCCGTGTGCGCGTTCGGGAGGGAGCCCCGCACAATCGTCCTCATCAGCGAGGACGGCTCCTTCCTGACGGCGAGGTTCTCGGAGCCCGGAGAGTGCGAGCGAATCAGCTACGCCCGATTCCTCCGCGGTGCCGGCGCCGGCAGCGATGACGAGGGGGACGAGGAGATCACCAGGGCTAACGGGGAGGGCGGAGGGGGGGGAGGGGGAGCGGGGGGTGGGTTGTTGAGTACGCTGGGACAGCCGGCTTCGTCGCAGAGGCCCACGTCGGTGACCCGCAGGCCAAGCGGTGAGAGTTGTTTTGACACGTCATCGTTGTTTGGGGGTGTTTTGGTGGTTGATTTTTGTGGTGGTCTTGAAGACTTAGGCTTCCTATGTGGACGGCGTTGTTAGAGAGGGCCCTGCAAGGTTGCGGCAGCTTTTCGCGGTCTCGTGAGGTGGGCACGTGTTCTCGTCCGCGATGGGTCAGACGAGAACGGCCAAGAAGAGGTTGGGGCACGCGCTGGACCCTGCTCTCGGAGACGACCAGGCCTGCCTGCCTGCCTGCCTGCCTGCCTGCCTGCCTGCCTGCCTGCCTGTCGGTGTAGACCCCGCGGCGTGTGGAAGACTCACCCGTGTGTCGACCAATGCTCTCCTGTGGAAGAGTCGCGTGTGTGTCAAATCAATGCTCGTCCTGCTTTCTATTCTACCGATGGTTGTGGGATCGCTGCTAAGGGTTATATTTTTGTGCACTCTGTGTGCTCCTACCCACGGACACCAAGCAGGTGTTGTAGTGCTTGCCCTCATCATCCGTGTGGGTGCTGTGTAGCAGTTGTTGACCCTGTCTGTGAAGGGGAGCGAAGACTCGCAAAACCAGCCAAGTGCTCAGAAGGGCGCTATGCTTTGTTTCGGCAGCTTTCGCTCGGGCTCCCCTCCATAGGCACCAGCGCACCAGAAAGCCCCCCCCTCTTTTAGCACCTATGTCTCCCTAACTCCCACCACCGTCCGGGTGCCGTGCAATCTTCTCTTCGCACACCCAACCCAGAGCCAAACGGACCGCCGCATCAGCAACAGGACCGCCAACCACAAGCTCCTGCCCCCCCCGCAGCGGCGGCGACCGCGACCACCACGCACGTGTTCTCGTCTACCCCGACCGCCGAACCCCAACAGCGTCCGGCGGCGGCCGCCCCGCCGGCCCAGCAAGAACAACGGGGGGAAGGGATTGGTTTCCTGCCGTCGCCGCCGGCGTCTGCGATCTCTGACCCGCCTACGGGGACGGCCTACAAGCAGCAAGCTTTCGGGGTGAATCCGAGCCCTCCGTTTTCGGCGGCGCCGGGGGGCGGCATGAACGAAGATGCCGGTGCTGGCGGGGTGATGGACGGCGGAGTTGGTAGAGAGGCGGGGGGGGGGGTGGGCGGCCTGAAGCCGCCAGTACCAGAGCAGGAGTTTCATGACGGTGACTCCGACGTGCAGGTGGGTGGGAGGTTTGTTTTTGATGTGTTTTTTTTTTTTGTGCTGTGATCGGCTGGGATAATCTGTGTGTTTGTTGTTTGCATCGACCGCGCCAACGGCCTGACCGATGAAAATACGAAAAGACGTCAGTGTCAGCAAGGCTAAAAACAGAAATGCTTCTAAAGGCCATCATCTGGGACCCCGTGAGTGTGTGTGTGTGTGTGTGCGCGCGCGCTTTTTTTTTTTTCCGTTTGTAGTGGAAAACACCGCAGTCTTCTCTTGCCCGTGGACTGACCTGACCCTGGCCCGCAAACAGCAGAATTCATTCGCTAGAATATCGCTCCGTTGGTTCTGTGACGACTGCCATGCACTTGTCTTGAAAGACGTTGTCTGGTAGACCGTGTGTGTCGGTAGTGTAGGATGTAATGCCACGGTTTCGCTGTGGTACGGGTTTTGTTCCGAGTCGTCTTCCGTGCGTAAGCCTGTCGAATTTTCGGAACGTTTGCGGTCGGCGAGATGGATACATTTATGCAGGCGGGAACTGCAAGCGTCGTCAGTAATATTGGATTGTACCGAACACGTGCCCTAAGCTGGGAGACAACAGCAGTTTCTGTTCTTTTCCGCAAATATCTCCCCCAGTGCTCAATACAAGGCCTCGTCCTCTGCTTCACAATTAGTAGCACCGAACGCGCTGAGCGGCTTGACCAATTCACGCCATTTTGCCTTGGCGCAACATCAACACTGAAATGCTTTCGACACGGGAGCACGGTGGGGGTAATTGAGGGAAGGCCCCTGCCTCCGGATGTAAGATAAGTGTCTCCTTGTCACCGACGGCGGAATGTAACCGCAAGTATGGATAATTTTGGTGTTGACTGTCCTGAGCATGTGTGTGTTGGGGCAAAAAGATGCTATGTGTTCGTAGCTTGGAGTTGACCTCGCTAACCTGTGTGCTTCTTTCGGACGCGTTCATTGCTGCTGCTGCTGCTGCTGCTGCAATTGCTGCGGTTGATGTTGTTGGTTCGAGCGCAGGCATCGGCCGGAGGTGAGGCGAGCGAGATCGACGGTCTCTCAGAAGCGGTGTCGCGTACAGCCTTGTGATGGACGTCTCCCGACCCACCCCTTACCAGGACACGTGGCGACAGAACATGGGAAAAAGTGTGACATCTTCTGTGGTGGTAGTACATAGAATGCTGAGTCGGGATTCCACGAGGACGCCTGTATCTCACCCGCGATCAGGATGTTGGCAAGCTACCCCCCCCCCCCCCCGTTGCTTCTGTACGGGGCGGCTCGCCCACGGGGGGGGCGGGAGAAATGCTACCTGTGGGTGGGCGGCGGGGACTACTTTGTATGCAAATCCCCCTAGATACAAGCGAGATTGCACCCCAAGCGTGCATACGGGGGTGCGAGCTTTATTGTATGCGACAGGCTTGAGAAAAATGAGAGTTGTTTCCCCGGCGGCGGTGATGGTACGACCCGCGTTTTGCCTACATGGCCGAGGGAGTTCCATACTCCTTGGGCGTTTTACAGCTTTTTGTGCTACATGGCGTACACGCATGTGGCGGGGCCGGGCTCCTCCGCCTACCCACGCGGCAAATTGTTTGAGAGGACAAATGATACAAAGCAGCAGTCATGGAGAGAGGTCCACAAGAAATTGTCACCGTTTTTTTTTGCTGGAGAGTCGCCTCGCCCTTTGCCCAATTCCTAACTCTTGTCTCTTGTGAGCAGCGTCCGGTGTCCAACCGCAGTTTTTCAACCTATTCCGGTCGAGTTGGTCCGGTTCAGTGAAACTCCAACATTTTTTGACGAATTTGCTTGTGTTGTTAATAAATCTTTCTGCCCGCGGGGCCAGGATATGTTGAATTTTTTTTCCATTTCTGCTGCCCGGTGTCCACGCTGGGCGCGGCGATCGCTCAAATCGAATTTTGGTTTCCGTTTCTGCTGCCCGGTGTTCGCGCTGGCGCGGCGATCGCTCAAATAGCCGTTGTCGGTTCGGCGCGCGCGCCCTGCTGGTGAGTTTTGTATAGCCATCATGGGCGTTCGCGAGCAGGAAGAAAATGTTGCCTGGTACACGCTTTGGCCCTTCTTTCGGATACGTGTATGTTAGGACTGACTGCTGTGAAGGCATTCATTTTTTTTTTGTGGTTGTACGGCAGCAGCTACACGAGTGACGGCGTCAGGACAAGGCTAACAAGCTCACCGTGTTCTTGTTGCCACTGCTATTGTATGCCTACCGTGAGTGACATAACGTGAAATACCACACCCCTTGCACCGACTTTGAAAGAAAGCTAAAGCTCGATTACTCCACGAGAACGAGGGTGGATACATGAAAACCAAATGAAGACGCGTTTTCGAAAAGCTTTCTTTGACGAGATAGTGCTTCATCGCCGGCTTATTCGGCTCTGCCACTGCTTTCTTCTGTCGAGTAAACGACCTCCGGATAGCGGTCCAGCGAACGTGGTATCTTGTGTCATGCATCCTACGGTGCTGCTGCTATGTGTCGGACGGAGAGAACGCCACCCATTCGGTCAAGGCGTTGGATGGATGTAATTGCCATGGCTTTTCCTCAAGCACCTCGACGGGAGGCAGAGACAACACGCAGTGAGTGCGCCCGACGAGTCCGCATTCGTAGCCTTTCTTTTTATTTTCGCGGAAGTTTGGAATATACGGCAGGCAACCCGTACGAAAGCGGACATGCACACACGGCCTCGAAACCCGTTCCACTCGGGGTGGTGATGAAAAGATAAAAAGTCTCTTCGGGCTTCCTTTAGTGCGCCCGCGGCAGGCAAGTGGACAGGCAGGCTGCACCACCCTAATCCGCCTCCCGTGCAAAGCCGCGCCCAGACGTCCTCTCTTGAATTTTCCTGCGAGGCCGCTTGCGGTTGGTCTGTTGGTTTGAATTCGACACGATCGCCATCAGAGGGGGGGGCACGCACGACACCGCACCAATAACTCTTGTTACTCCGCTCTTTCGGAACCATTCGATGCGCAGCCCCCACCGTCCTCTTTGTTGCGTTCAACCAAAAACATAACCCGAAGAAGTGCACGCCGGCAACAGAGAAAAGAGCCGACAAGCATTCTCCGTGTGTTCATGCAACCATGCCACCCCGCTATTGGCGTTGGCAGAACGGAAGTGCTTCGTTCTCTTTCTCGTACAAAGCATTGATCCTCTAGGGCCGGCACCCCCCCCTCGCCCCCCTGGCCGGGGCCCCCGGCCGGGGGGGCTCCGAGTCACCGGTTAAAACGAGAGAGCGTTTTCCGCGTCCCCCCACAGATAGTCAATGGTCTAACCGCTGAGAGCTAGCAAAACTGTGCACCACTAGACACCGTAATGTGTTGCGATTATCCTGACGGTACGGTAGAGATCGGTCATCCACTTCCAGGCCAGCTCAAACCTTTCCCTGGAGCCGCCCTCCCCGCTCTTGTCCAGAAAATCTCTAATCATTCGGCCTTATGTACTATATGTGCATATACCTGCCAAAACTCAAGAGCTTTGCGAGGTACGGTATGTGTCAACCGTTCCGGATTTGTATGGGATATGCCCCCGCGGCAGGGGGGGAAAATTCTGTGATTGGCGTCTCTGGTTGTAAGAGGGACACCTGGTGGATGCGTCGTAAACGGGTCCTTGTGTAGACTAGGGAACATTGGTAACATTCCCGAGAGCGAACAAAAACTGGAGTCTAGAAGTCGTCCAGGAAAGCGGAGGAAAGCATGGCGCGTTGGCTAGGTCCCAAGGGGGGGGGGGGTGTACTCATAGTCGTGCATGCCGTAGTCGTTAGACCATTGACCTCGCATCCCTACAAAGCCGGGACGGAGCACGCCGGGTTCTCACCGGACCAGCCTCTCACATCACCAAGCGCGAAGCGACGTGAGGTATTCGGCGAGTCGCATGAAGGGTGCGCTGCATCCTGCTAAGGGTGTTCGGCATCTTGTGCTTACTTCCTTGCCTACGGATGACAGCTGCGTATGACTTACTCTATTTTCTGGTGCTTTCACTTCCAGAGACAGCTGTAAGCGGTGTGTAACTGCCTCGAGGGTGCTTGACCAATATTAACACAACGTGGTGCGATTATCCCCTTTGCGCGGAGTCAGGGTTCTCGACTCCGCACAACATAATCTACTCGACCACCATTCATGGTTACCGCAAAAAAAAAAAAACGAAGGCAAAAAAAAAGCGGTAACCTGGTTGCCGAGCTCACGAAGTGATTGGCTTGTTTTACAACATCGCTGCCAAGCGACGAAAACCCAACCTCGATGGCAAACACCGGGGGGGGCGGGCCACAAGGGGGGGGGGGGGGTACTGTGTTTCTTTGGCGCAGGGTCAGCAGCACAAGCAACAAAGAAACGAGTAACGGCAGCAGAAAAAGCAACAAGACGCCCGAAGACACGAGCCGCCCGTCCCTCTTTTCCTCAGAACCTAGCCCCAACCCGAACCGGAACCCGAACCCTTAGAAAACAACTCACGAGTAACGTCTGGGTGTCCAGGTAGTGCAAAGCTCGCCCACATCCAACGACCCCAACGCGAGCAAGAGAGCATCGAAAACCCTCAGCGCGACTGTTCGGCACGAAAAACAAAACAAAAAACACCACAGAAAGTAGGCGGTGTTGCTGACAATGGGGGCGAGGCGGGGGTCGTGTTGGGGAGATAAATATCCGGAACGAGGAGTTGAAATTATAACATGGGACACGACGGGTCGTTTTTAGCAACACCTCAGCAGCGCCCGAGATGGGGCTCGGGTTCCGAAAACCAAGATCGCGACGCAATTTGCCCACCACATGCTCATACCACCGAACGTCCACTTGTGGGTGCCTACGGGCAGAGGACGCAGCCGCAGCCGCAGCTGGTAAAATAAAATCAACGAGCTTTGCGCCAACCTGCTGTGCTGAGGCTGAGCCGACCTGACTCGTGCGAAGCATATATGTTACATGCCCGCTTGCCAAGAACGGATCCTTTAGCACACGCCGCTTACAATGACGTAAAATCCGAAGGACAAACAAACCGCCAAAGACCCACGCGGTCATCAGAAGCACTAGCCCGATACCGCCGATGAACGTTAACGCAGCAGGAAAAAGACGAGGAGCAACAAACGAGAGCAGCCAGGGCACCCAACTCTCACCTAGGGCGTCGCACGCCGCGTAGTTGACCTGAGCGCTCTGCAGCGGGCGGCGCGCCCACCGGGACATCTGCTGTCTCTTGCTCAGGGAGCGCCCGAGGTACCTGCCAGCCGCAACCCCCCCCCCCCCAGCGAAAAGCAGCAGCGTGGAGGAAGGCAGAGGTTTCTTCTGTGAGCGAGTCTCGTCGCTAGAAATAGCAAGAGAGGCGTCCGCTGCCTCCTGTTCGCTCAGGGTGAGCCCGGGGCAACACAAAGGGAGCAAGCACCTTTTCTACGTACCTACAACCGTTGCTTCCTACGTTTGCTGTAGTGTGTCATACGGCAAACGACAACGCCGTGTCTTGTATGTGTATGCGTATCATGGAGGAACCTAGCACCACCACTGTCTTGTGGAAACTCTCCAAGACACAGGAAATACGTAGACTCATCAGTGCGGACTCAATATACCAGTTCACAAAACAACTATAGGGCAGTCCTCGTCGACTGAGCTGTTTCTTGTGGCCCCATTCCGAACCGAACTGCAGCGGAGCAACGGCTAGAAGCTTTTCCTGACAGCGTTATCAAAATGTGGTATTTTGACAAGTCGACAAGTCGAAGTCCTTCGAAAGCAGTTCCTTCGATAGCCGTACACCAACTACAGCAGTACTGGTATTTGACAAATGGCTAGGGCCAGGATTGTCGGGTGTGGGCTGGGTCTGACACAGGCCAAGTTGACGGGGTCGATCACCAAAAAGGCAGGCATCGCAACAAGCACCCCACGCATCAGCTAAGCCCCGCTCGCGTCATTCTGAGACGCAGTCGTTGCCCGTGGTCTCCATCAACCCTTAGAGGAAGCAACGCATAGCCCCCCCCCCCTCCCCCCGACTCGCCGAATACATACCTCGCGGCGCTTCGCGATTGCTGATGAGCTAGCATGGTTCGTTAAAAACCTCGCGTGCTCCGTCCAGGGTTTGTAGGGATGCGACGACGGCAATGGTCCAACGACTTCGGCATACACGGCTATGAGTACACCCCCCCCCCCTCGCCCGTTCGACGCGAGACAGGTGCTCACATTGACGCGAGCTTTCTGAGCCCCAAGTCGCGAGGGATGCCTTGGTCGTTGCAAGCTCCTCCTGTCAGCTTGGTGTTGAGAGCGTTAAGGTTGAGCACTCCTGGGACTTGCTCCAGGAACGGGGTTTCCTCAAAGGCGAACGACATCTCGTCCAAGTCGTTGGCTAATCCGACACCTGCTCGCGGGAAAGACAAACAAAACAAAAAAAGGAAAAAAAAAGCTCACGCAAGGAGAGAGTAAAACGCCGGCAAAGGAGGGGGGGGGAGGGGGGGGGCTTGCACACAGGGGAACCCACACAAAAAAAAAGCGAGATTGAGGACGCCACCAGTAAATTTCTATCACCCTCATACTACGTGGTCAATGAATCGCAAGCAGGGAGGAAACTGGTGTAGGAACAATTGACCGAACACATTAGTGGGCATGAGACCTACGTGTAGGGGCCCACCTAGCTTGACCACGTTCGGCGAGCCGAACGGGCCGGACAGGGCCTCGCTCAAGCTCTCGGGCAGGAGCAGGCCGTCCTTGAGGGAGAGCAGGTCTATCACGAGCACGTCTTCCTCCCCGTCGGCGTCCCTCGTGGCCACCTGCAGCAGGGACGTCGGGTGCCACTCTCCCACGGCAAACGACGGCTGCGTCTCCGTGTCTATGGACATCAACACGCTTTTGCCGAGTACGGCCGCGGCGTCCCGCACGCCCTCGGGCGTGTTCACCACGTGCACGCGGTCCTCCGGGATGTCCAGCCCGAACAGGGGAAGCTGCGGCACGCCGCCGCCCCCCTGTTGTTGTCGCTTCGGACTCCGGCTGCGGCGGCGGCTACTGCTTCTGTCTACCCTGTTATCGTCCGCGCCGCCTTTCTTCCTCTTCTTGGCCGCCGGCCTCCCGCCGCGCTGCCGCCGCCGCGCATCCCCGTCCTCGCCCGCGCTTTCCCTCTTCTTCACCCTGCCGGGGGCCCCGTGGCCGCCCGGCCCCCCCCCCCTCGGCGGGGA